CAGATAATCACATAATTTGCTTGCAACAACTTTTTCAAGAATTTTAGAAATAAAAGGGAGGTTGGATATGGGCCTACAGTTTGGTAAAACGCCTGGATCTAGAATACGCTTTTTGAGCAGTGGTTTTATTATAGCTACTTTAAAAGCCTGTGGTACGTAGCCTGTTAATATAGAGAAGTTGATGATATTTAATACTGCAGTATTTATTAGAGGAAAGATTTCCTTGAACAGTCAAGTTGGGATTGGGTTTAACAGACATGTAGCTGGTTTAGAAGAATTTACTATCGGCGTGGGCTCTGAGAGATTTACAACAGAGAAGCAGTCTAAGTATAGATCTGGTCCTATAGATGCATCCAGAGCTGCTGCACCTAAAGACGTGTTAATTTTTTGTCTAAAATTTTAAACTTTATCAGTGAAGATATGTTATGTAACATGAGCTGGCCATCAATGTTTTGCAAATGTCTATTTAACTTGTGAAATCTATTCTGAGTTGTCTTAAGCTAATAAGTGTACCTTTTCTCCAGTAAGTTGCTGCCCTATTCTCCAAGACAACCCTCACTTTCTGATCTGGAGCCTGGTGCTGGATGTGATGTCACCTTCAAGGCCGCGCTTTCGCGAGTAATTAATGCAGTATTAACCCCCAAAGAGTAGATACTGAGTAAGACAGTTATCTGTAGTTTACCTTAGGACTCGCGGGTACCCAACCCAGTGCAGGACTCTGCTGTGAAGGTGGAGACATGCGGCGGTGGTGTATTTGCAACAGTGAAAAAAAAGAGAGAAAAAAATTTGAAGGAGCGGCTAGGATTTAGGAATGGCGGCCCGCCACTCCTAAATGAATGTAGAGAAATGGCTTTTACTTGACTAGTCTGTGTAGTTTTCTGTTCCTACTATATATTTTTCTGGTAAATGCCCACAGCTATAAATTGCTGTCGAGTCACCAAGACATTTACTGTGCACCTGTGAGCTATTTTTATTCACCAGTGCACTCCTGTAGTCATATACACCCTTTGTTTTTTCCCTGTAATGTGAGTCTGAAACCAGCACAAGAACAAGGAAAAGAGGGATACGAAGACATCTGTTTTATATTAACCCGGAGTTTTCTTTCTACTCCGATTATTGCGTCTCTCCTCGCTTTCCCCCTTCCTCTCTAGATCTCATTTGTCTTCATTTTCCTATAACAACATGCTGCTCCAGGCTCCCATTACAATTATGCAGTCACCTGTGGATTTGACTTTACAAAAAGATCTTCTCATGTACTCATTGTTGCTCCTCAGTCAAAAAATAGAAAGCAGAGAATCCAAATTGGATTTAATGATAGCCTACTAACTACTGTAGTTTGTGCCTCAGTGTTATTCACAGAAACGGCATCTGATACGAATGTACCAAGATCCACAACGAGTTGGAAAGAAAAACTCGCAGAAGAAGATGACGGGTTTCTTTCTTATTCCTGCACAAATCAGCAGTGCAGCATAGTCACCATCAGAGTGCCGGTGAGTGTCGAGGCAGTAAATGGACTGAGGTCACACCGGTAATGGGACAGCAAAGTCAAGTGGAGCCACACTGAGAGATGGCAGGTTGTCGAGGAGGGGAGAAAAAAAAAAGAAAAACTCTGAGACCAGAGACGTGAGGGCAAAACAAGATGATGGGAGCAAAAGAGAGGAAAGAGAGGAAGAAGTTGGACAAGAGAGAGGAGAGAGAAAGAGGACACAAAGATGGCAGAGAAAACAAAGGAAGGAGAAAGGTCTGATTGGGCTACAAGAAAGGAAAAAGGGACGGGAGGATGAGGTCTCTGTATCGCAGTAGTTTGAAGGCTCACTTGTCTTAGATGGGGAACATTTTGAGCCTTTTTTTTCTGTAGTCTAGCTGTCGGACTGTGGGTGGTACTGTTGGAGTGTGATTTGTGCAGTCAAGTGAGACCACCGATGAAGTAAAATCACCAGAATCTATCATCACCGGGTTTTGGTCAGAGGGTTGAGGAGGCCCAGGCTGAACAGACTCGGGTGTGACTGGGTGTAATTTAGAAAGAAGAAATTCACCAGCCATCTAATACTCCCCCATCAGCCTTTGGGAGGGATTTACTTTCAGAGATGAATGTGATGAACTTGCACCTATACTCATTGGGGGAAGTTTGAATTAAAATCTGCCCTTTTCTTCTTTTTTTTTTTTACTGTTATTAGCATCAGTTTGAACGTGTTTTATGACAAGTAATAAAAGTATTGAACTGTATTTTATTACTCCCAACAGCATTTTGTAGAGAAAGTGATTTATACCATAGCACAGGTATACTAAATGTAACTGGAATTTAAATAACACATTCATGTGTGGCTGTGTGGATTCCAGAGGTGGAGAGTCACGCTTCTTTTTCGCAGAGATTAAATCTGGAGACTCAACACTTTTGCTGCTTTGGAGTTTGAACAATTTGGATGTCATCAAAACAGCTTAACCTGGAAAACCCCTAGTTTGCAGTTGAGCCAGTGGTATACACATAAATGATTACAGCATAAAAATGGACAGTGCGGTTCTCAGCTGGAGAATAAATCATTGTACTGCAGAGAGATGAATATTGATCCTTCTGTGACACCTTCATCAACTGTTAGGGGACTTGACTTTAAACCAGTTTGTCTTAAAATCTGTCTCAGTACTTCAGGCTGACTTTGAAATTCAACTTAATGTGACGTAGTCGCGCCTCTGGATTTCATAAAAAGCAGAGATTTCGTCAGTTTAGAATGCATTTCGAATAAAAAGCTTTCTTCGACAATCGTTTGGGCTCAACGGACCATCAAAGAAGACAGAACGCTCAACAGAACATCAGTGTAGCCAGAGCTGTTGCACTTACAGGAGGATCAGAGTGAGTTAGACTTTCATATTTCTTTCCCTTTCTTGTGTCAAGTAGCGCTTTTGATCAATAAGAAAAGCAGGCAGCACACGATAGCGATTTCACTTCCAAATTTCACTCTTTCGCTGAAGCTGCGCAGAAAGAAGCAGTCAATGGTCCTCTACTTCACGCACTGCACACGTACATAGACAACCATTGTTATTACTTCTCGGCTCACAGCCTTCCTCACACCTTCACAGGTATCTACAGTCTGACGGACAATTTTTGAAGCATCCAAACTAATTCCATTACTTCTGATTCATGTCTGGGAGGCCAATATTGCTCTGCATGTCTCCTGTTTCTGAAATGCATTTACGGGGAGGAGAGAGAGCAGCAGGACAAGGTTACAGAAATCGCTCACCTTATGTGTCTACAAGCAGTTGAGGAAAAGATGTAAAGTCGCCGCAATATCCTCTTCATTTTGACAAATTCCCAAAACAATTTCTTTCTCATTTCTTGTCTGTTTCCCTTTCTTTGTTCTGTTATCATGTCTATTGGTTAAAGAAGTTTTATCTTTTTGCAACACAAGCGTTAAATGCAAGGCAGATTTTTCATTCATCCTTTAAAGAGTAAAATACATTGACTAATGTCAACAAACAGGCTTTGAAATCAAGCTCATTTTAAATTCAGCAGACAGGTGCATTGCGGTAAAGTCCTTAGTCTCTCATAGGCAGAATCGGCACAAAAGCAATGAGCCATCGATCATGTCTCAATCCCAGTCTGCAGCAGGACTCTTCAGTAGTTTTTTTTTTTTCTGGATGGTAAAGGCAAAATCTAAATTACGTTTCAAAAATGATCTGTCTGAAAATGGTTCAGACTCAGAGAACTTAGAAAAGTTTTCCATTCTTTATTTGGATCCTCATTAGCTCCAGTTTGCTTGTCTTTCTGGGGTTCCACATAAAATGATGATTAAAAACAAACAGAAGTTTTAAGTAACTTAGTATCAATGGACTGGAAGGAAAAGAGAGAAACAGTCAAACATGAGCATCACAAAATATTTGGGTTGATTTCACAGATGAAAGAGTAAGCAATAAAATGGAAAAAAAAAAAAGAGAGAGAGAAATAAATAACAATATAATTCCTTGAAAACATCAGAAAAGAAACAACTATGAAAAATATCCACATTAAACATTGTTGTTTTCATGTGATCTACACAATATGTCATTACTCCACTACATGTGGACATCCCTTTCCCAATTAGACTGCATAATTGTATGTTAAGATTGCCTTGATTATTCATTTGGTTAATTTGAAGAAAAAAAAACAAATCAGGGAACTTGGTAAAAAAAAATAATAATAATAAAAAAACTCTATTCTATTCTATCACATTGGCAAAGCAATAATAGATAACATTTTGTGCTTTTTGTAATCAATTATCAAAATAGTTAGCGATAAACTTTTTGTTGCCTTAGCATTAGTGCTTGTGTTCTTTTGGCATTTGGTCTGTAGCTGCTCCTTTAGAGCTGATTTACGCCCCTGAGTTCCAGTTACTTTAAATCCTTAGATATTTTACACATTTTAAACAATCGTGTGTTTCCAGTTTGAGACAACAGTCTATGGACAGCTTTTGTTCCAAAGTACAAAGCCAAATCAATAAAGAAAAATACAGAATTTCCTGTTTAAGATCTTTTCTCACCAGAACTTCAAGTCCAGTCAACAATTTTAGGAGTAACCAGAATATAAGCCAGGCCATATCACCTAACAGCGACTGCTCTTTAGTTAAATATAAGCAAAATCCCTGCTGCACAAGGTTCTGATATCTGTTTAAAGCTAAACACTTGGATGCTGAAACATATTTGTGCATATTTAGACCTGATATTAAATGTTCGTGGATCCCAAATGAGTGTATTGTTTGGGTGTTGGTGTATTTTTGGCCATATGCAGGAGTGTATGTTGGTTAAACAGCAGGCTGAAGAAGCTGTAGAAACAGACCTTTTTGTGCATAATGGCAGAAAGAAATTTGAATTGTGGAGGTAGAAGCAGTGCAGTAGTAGCTGTGAAAATTACTACAGAGCTTGGCTGATGAGTTGGCAGATTCTCACCATTAAATAAGGCATTAGTCATCCGCTGTGACCTCCCGCTCACCTTGTCTGATGCTGTGACCTTTTCTTCTTCCCACGCCCAGAAAGCCAGACTGGCCCGGATAAGAATAGCCAAGTCGGGCAGCGCCAACGCCTTCCTTCAGAGCAAACACAACGGACTGCTCAACGAACTGCTGGAGCTGACGGTGAGAAAGACCTCTGAACCCCCCGAGATGCACCAACAGCAAAGTGGGCACGATGATTCCTGGGAAGTCTTTTCAAATGTGTTCATTAAAAGTGACGTGCAATGCCGGCAGATTGTAATTCAGTATGAGACATTAATCATATTGTTCCTTGTCAAACACACTTTTGCTAATTATTTCAGTTCACTGCAACTCAATAGTGTGGAAGCAACAACTTCACATCTGCAGTACACACACACAAATACACACACACATACGCGAAATGACAACAATTACTGCCATAATTAACCAAAGGACAATTTAAAAGTAATTTAGAGGCTATAAAAGTGCAACAAAAGTTGGAGTCATTACATTCTCGTTGTTACACTGGGCAGGGGTGATAGCAGAGGAGTTATGCCAATAATCCCCCATGCGAGTGTTATCCGTGTAATCACGCAAAGTGCTTTTCCTAGTTGTCTTTCAGTCCGAGACTTGTTTTAATCCATGTCTGTGAAACTGGCAAGCTTAAACAACAGAGGTGGTTTTTACTCGCTTTTTGAGTAGCTCTTGGTGATAATTAGATGGTTAGTGCATTAAAAGAGGCTGAAGCAAACTTCAAAACAAAACTGTGCCAATGAACAATGAGACAGTGGCGAGAGTAGAGATCCTGCAGGGTAGTTTTGAACTTTGGACAGAGTCACGTTGTTTCACGCCTGCCTATTTTCATGCTAAGCTAAGCTAATCATCTCCTCAACTCCATAATTAAAACATGAGAATCAATCTTCTCATCTTCTCAGGAATGCAAACATATTTTTCAAAATTTAAGACATTTATTACTAATTGCTCATTCTTCTCTGTACATGTATATACAACTTTTTTCATGCAAGTATCCACCACTGTGTTCTACTTTTACTACTCTTCCCGTTTTTTGAGAAAAAAAAAAAAATTGTCACAACCATGGTAAAAATGTGTTTGGTAATGCATGAGCAAATTGCCTATATCCTTCCCATCCAGTCCATCACTCTTGCTTTCAGTGACACACTCCCCTCCTTGCAGATGGTGACTAAAATCCATTTGGATCTAATCGAGTCCAGTGTGAAAGCTCATGGGTGTCTGGAAGTGGTTAGAATTATCATATAAATGCCATCTGTGAGTGCTGAGCGACCCCCATCCCTCTGCGTGTCTGTGATGAGGCTGCCAGAGTCCTGGCGCATCAAATTACGGTGGTGTCACCGCTGACTGTCAGCCAGTGGTGCTGTGTGGAGATATATGACAAAATGACTGGTTGCCTCACAGCCTATAGTTACATTTGAAGTTAACTGCAGGTCTGTTTGCATTTGGGCCTTTTTATTTTTTACCTGCCATTTATTTGTCACCCAGATCACAGGCTAATTGTTATAAAGGGGGATTTATTGATAATCCTGTCAAGTTTTATGATAGCCTTGCATAAGGGGACTTTTCAGGCTTATCCTGTGGATGCTGTTTACTTAATTTTCACTTCTCATATTAACGTGACAGGATTTGCCCTCATGGTTCATGTTGTCTAAACCTACTTCCAGACATTGGCATTGCTTCCCATAGCTCAGGCTTTTCAAGTAATTCAGATGAAGCTGGTTCATTGACAGATGTTTCTCTGCTGGAAAAACAACCAAACCAATCAGATCTTTGTCAGGAAGGAGTGGGACCGGCAGTGGGGATGTCATGTTCGTGTTCCAGTACTGGAAAAATGGCAATGGACAGCAAACAAATGTCAATGAGAAAAGAAAATGGAAAAAGTTCAGCAAGATGCCCAGTGTTTTCTGGCATTTTGTGTCTGTAACAGACTCATGACTCCAGAATATGGGGTAATATGATGATCAGTGTTAGAAAACTAGTCAATTACTCATTTGACATTTAGAAGTTATCACCTGTCGCCAAATGCTTAAAGTGCATGCCACTTATCTACAACAACAATGGTTTTAGGAATATGGTAACTGTATTGTTTTACTATTTACTCAGCAGCAGCAGTGCAATTAAGTAAAATTTTACTACTGAGCATTGACCTCTAAAGCTTCCAGTCCCACATGCCTTATTGTTTGTATTCAACATGTGTAGAAATAGAAGAAGCAAAGGCAGGCAGACCCAGACTCAGAGGGATTATGCTGATCGTCCAGTAGTTTGTTTAGCCATGTGGCTGCACACAGCTCTCCATTAGTTCTGACCTCACAGTAACATCCATCCCAAGCCAAGATACAGCACTGCATCCTGGGCCAGTCTCACAACATAGCGGCGCTAACCCTCTGAACCCGAAGCAGTTTCTGGAAGTTGTTGTAACACTTTATAATAACTATCCGTTATAACTACTTAATAGATCATTTGTAAACTGTTAATTAGTGAGTTATTAACCACTTGTTAAGTGTTTGTTAACATGCCTTATAGACAGTTAATAAACCATTTACAAACTGTTAGTTAATGAGTTATAAATGACTTGTTAACTGTATATTAATGATTTACAGCCATACCTTATACACCAGTCATAGATCATGAACAAGCCATTAGTGAATCACTTACTAATGACTTGTTAAGTATCAGTTAATAGTTTATATTTTTTGGGACGTTATTCCAAAGTTGCAACTATTACTCATTTATTAACTGTTGGTAAATGAAGAAAAGTTGCAACTTTAGAATAACGTCTCAATAACATACATAAGCTTATAACTAATGCTTAACAACTACATTAACTCACACTTTACAGATCACTTGTTAATAGTTTGTTAACCATCTACTAATACCAATGAAATTTTGTAGAACAGCAAATGGGTGGAACAATTTCAAGGTACAGAAATTTGATCTGATATTTAAAATATCACATTTTTGTACCTCAACGCTCTTCCACCCATAGACTTTTCTGTGTACTATATTTTACCAAAGACATACAAGAGATAGAATGTTGAACATTGTCTTTAATGTACAGAAACACACATACTGAGTTATCACATGGCAGAACAGCAGTATACAACAGTATACAAACCCATGAGTTTTAAGTATGTTTTGTGCTAAACACTTAATAAACACAATATTTCAGAGAGACATTTAATGTCTAAACATCACAGCAATGTCATGGATTATCCGTCCTAATGGCCCGTTGCGATGCTTATGGGCAAGTCACTCATACCATTCAATAACTCTGAGATGGTCTACCAGTAACTCCTCTGTACAATTCCCCCTGAATCTCCACACATTTTCCTTAACCGTTCTCCAGGCCCTCTCTATGTGCTGAGTGTGTGCACCTGTTTGGGCATCAACATATGACACACTGTGATTGACAGCGAAATCGGTGTAACCTAGCTGAGGTAAAGCATTGCGATAAGCCCGCCACTCATCACTTATTATTGTAGATCCCACTTTAACATGGTGAGCTGTAAGCGGCACCAGATCTCTCCTTCTTCTTTTCTTGACTAAGCGAAGAACAGGCTTTGCATGTCTTCTCTCTCTCCGGTTCACACCTAGCATCCCAAAAACCCACTTCTTCCTCCTCCAGCCACCAGCCATTCGTCCTCGTCTGTACTGTTGAAAACATAAAATATGAGGAATTATTCTTGTTTATACAAAATGAATAATCTGTCATAATGTACATTACTATCTTGATAATAGTAAATGCCGCTTGCCTTTCTTTTGTGTCTGAAGTGGCTCTCATCAATGGTGACAAACTGCTGCCGCCCCCCAATGTACTGGCCCCTTGCTCGCTGATATCGGTCCATCGCAGAAGTACACACATCTCGCAGCTTTTGAGCCATCTTGGACAGGGTTGCTGAGCTTCCAGAGATGTCATCATTGATCATGTCCACTTGATGTAGACGAAGGCCTTGTGCAAATCTAAATGATTATTATATCACAGTTAGCAATAAAGTGGTTCTTTTGATTTTTTTTTTTTCTTTTTATTTGATACACAAATTTAGCCTCTACTGCACCCCAGGATTTGACAATTGTTCGCTAATGTGTAGACAAAAACAGCAATACTGATGGAAAATATATGTTGTGGTATTTTCCACAGAGCTCTGTCAATACATTTGGGGCAAATAGAATATTTGTAAAATCCTATTTCTGATATTAATTTCCAGAGCCTATAGATTGAGAAAGCCAATTGCTACTGAGCTTCAAGAGGCAGGGTCTGACACTCATGTTGCTACAGAAGGCCTAATGCTGACCAACACAGTAATCCCATAAGTAACAGCTATTAAACATATTTCTGTAATTAAACTGTTAAGAATTCAAGCTGTAAACTACACCTTTTAGCAAAATGAACAAAAGTGAAATAACTCCAAGCACCTGCTATTATCATGAGTCTACAGATGCTCCATAACATAATAATCACAAGCTTTACTCCAGAGTCTCCAGTTATTGTTTTTGAGTTATACAGTACTTCTACTGAAATAACACTTTTCATTATAGACAGACTAAAAACATATACCTATGCCATAGTGTATACCTGTACACAAAGCGCATCCAGTTGAAGAGGGAAACCTTTGACTTGTTGAACATAGATTTGTGTCTAATTGACCTCTTCAGTTTCCTCCCTCTGTGGTTAGGGTGTTTGCAAACCCTGAAGATATACTAATAAAGATAAGGATGACACAGGCCAGGGTAGTGGCTAAAGCAGTCTCAAACATTTTCATGTCAAGGCCCTCCAAATTAATGTGTATTTGACCGTGGATCCCATCTGAAAATATTTTAATTTAGTGAATTTTAAAACTTAAAATGTGTGTTCAAATGTTTCAAAAGTGTTGAATATTAATTTCTAGATAATGTTAACATGAATTAAGATATATTGGGCACTCTTAATAGCTAACAATTAAATTAATTTAATTTCATACAATAAAAATAAAACTGACCATGCATAGTTGTCCACACAAACTGATTCCTTGAATTTCATCGTGTCTGCATTTTTGACATCTCATCCCTCTTCTTAGAAGCCTTTTCTTCTGCATCCATTTGATGATTTCTCTGTGTCTTCTTTTAGATTTAGTTCTTCCTTCAATAAGCTG